TAAGGTTAGGAGTCAGAATTTTAAGACTACTGAAACTCATCATACTTTATCCTAGTTAAGGACAGAGCAACAGCAATTCCAGAACCAGCACCAAGGTCACTTAGGCCAAAAGGTGGCCAGGCCAGTAGGCCCAAGAACACACCAGATGGCAGAGAGCTTCCATGAGTCCCCTTCACTCCCAATCCTCAGGGATAGATGGGCAGAGAGTCAGGCATGACTTCGGTGGTGTGTACATTAAGGAACCCAGCAGGAAAAACAACACTCCTGAGGAATGCTGGAATGAATAATATAAACAACCTCACATTTATGAATCCAGGTTTTCCATAGTGAGTTATTCAAGTCCAGCAATTCTAACCAAGCTAAATGGAGTCATATCATCCCTTCAACTACCTCTAGTAAGAAAAGCCAGGTTCTGTTTCTACTTTGTCATTACACTCACAGCTCATTCTTAAATATTTAGATTTTTTGTAATTGTTAGCCATAACAATAAAATGTAAGAACCTGAAGTTATTGAGGACTTGGTTTGTCTAACAGATATAGTTATGAATTGCAAAACACTACAGGAACTACAAGTATCATTAGGGGAGGAGGAGAAGGAGATTCTAAAAGTGTGTGTTCTAAAGTCAGATGGGCTCTGCCATTTACTACCTTTACTTAATGTGCAACCTTAGGCAAGACTCAACCTCAGCATCTTTATATGTAAAGAATGGACAATAAAGTACCTATCTCATAGGAGCACTGCAAGAATAAAATAAGATAATGCCTATAAAAACCATAGGTCAGTAGCTAGCATATGGGAAGACATTTAAAAAGTGAGCTTTTTCAAAGTGAACATCTCATTCTTCATCATTTAGATCCATGTCCTTTTCTCCAAATATTTTTCAAATTGTGCTATTTGTTTTAATTCCTCATTAACAGAGAAACTAAAAGAATATCATTTTCCTTGCTCTTGAAGAAGTATTTCATAGGTACTAATGACAAAGGTAATTCTTAGCACAGAAGGAAGGTGCTGACAGTAAGCATCAGGTAGGTTAAGATTGTGATGATACAACCATGTGGCACATAAGGGTAAAGACACAGGGTCAAAGATAAAGGAAGAGCCCCCAAAGATTGAGGAGATGATTAGAGAATATTTCCAATATGTGGGCTTTATTTAAAAACAGAGATATATTTAAGATTTTTCTTAAGTGATAAAATGGGGGAGAGGACTAAGAAAGGTGATTGAATTCTTTAAGAACAGTCCATCTTTTTAAAAAATTTTAAAGGTTTATCAGATTTTATTGCCAGAAGGGATATTATTAAGCTTTCCCATGTAATATGAAAGATGATTTACATATGATTTCTGAAATAATATGAAGTTAATAAAACTGAATTAAGAGTTCTTTCATTCAAATGGACCTAATGATCTCAATTTCTAAAAAGCATCTAAATCCAACTCTAAAACCAAGCTGTAGTTGGATTTGATATGGTCTTTATCTCCAGAAAAGCATGGCCCACTAGCTGAGTTTTCATTCATGACCCATAATCGCTCTTCATGGCCTTCACATTCTCATAAATTTTGGATTCTGGGCTTTTATAGTCATCTGGCAGCTGACTCTCCAGCATTCCAGTTCCCACATTCGCTTATACTGTCTATGAAACCTCCTCTTCAACTTGGAACTTGCACAATGTTTCCCACACCCACCAGGACTAATGTACTTGATGGCAGGGAAAATACAACTACCTCATCCCTCACCATTAAATGACTACCCAGAATCAACCTCCTCTATGAAATGATTCTCAGAGTCTGATCTAACTGACTACCCTGAATCCCTCCTCCTGCCCATTTCATACAAGTTAATCTGCATAAACATAGAATTCCAGAAGGCTTCCCTCCTTCCCTTTAAGAACATGAATTCCTTTTGGATGGGATTCCCAAACAAAAAGCTCTCATGTCTATGACAACTCCTACGGGGCTAATGAAGAAACACGTGGCATGTTAGTAATATTGACCGATTTATACAATTTTCTTTTTTAGGTTAACATTTCAAAATTTTTGTAGTGCTAATAATAAATAGAAGCAAAGCACAGTTTTGGAATTAAGAATTTGACTCTGGAGCCAAACTATTTAGTTATTAATACCAGCTCTATTACTTATACTGTTTTTCCCTCTAGACCTCTGCTGTCTCAACTGCTAAATGAGGGCAATAAAAGTATTGGCTTAATAGGATTATCTTGAGGATTAAATCCAATAATCCATGTAAAATACTTTTAAAAAAGGCATCCTATATATCAATACCTCAATAAATGTTTGTTTTGTTGTTCTTATTAACATTAATTTATCAGAAAATATAACCAGTCATTTTTTAAGGTTTGAGTACGCACTTGAGAGACTGATACAATAGGAGGCACTTCATTATGAGTGTCAGTTTGGTGTGAGGTAAGTTTATGTCCAAGATCATATCTGAAAATCAACAGCATAAAAATAAATTCTTCTCATCATACAGAACCCAAAGCAACTGGATTTGCCATTACTTTTCCCCCTTATTTCTGATCATAGGACAAGTGTGAAGTCACCCATCACCAGCTAACGGATGAATCCAACGGATAGTCCAGTTCCTCCCACTTGGCCTCTCCTGTGTCAGACACTGTCCACCCCTCCCTCCTTTTTTCTTTGACTTCCAGACACTTGCCTTGCTGGCTTTTCTTCTTGGGCGCAGTACCTCTTGGTCCATTGTGGGAACCTCTTTCCTTTCTTCAAATAGTGCAATTGCTCAGGAACTTTCTCTTTTTACTCCAGTTTCCCTGGATGATCCCCATTCTCTCTCCAGATTTCAACAAGTTGATGACACAGTATCCACCTTTACTGCCACTGCCTGAGGCTAGCCTCTCATCACTTCCAGGGCTTACAGAAATTGCCTCTTAAATGGTCCCTTTTTGCCATCTTTTATCCACTTCAAAATTTCTCCTTCATACAGCCATCAGAATGACCTACCTAAAGTATTAATCTGATCTTGCCACTTCTTCAATGGTCTTTACATTGCTAGATGAGATCCTAAAACCCTTAAACTATCTACCCCTTCTGCACTTTAATGTAATAACCCACATTAAGAAGGCACCCTACAAGTTTTTGTTGCTCAGATTATGTACAGTTCAAAGAAAGAACATGGTTCTAAAAGTTTTTCCAGGCCTATACTTTTCATTCAAATCACTTTCCATTATAAATTATTGATTGCAGCCTTAAAATAAATTAGGAGATGTTCTCAACTCTGGCAAATGACTGTCACCAGATCTCTTGAAGTGAACTTTTTCAGAACAAGTCAATTATACACACATACATTTTACATTATTGCTCTTATTAAAAATAAAGATTTATAGGTTTTTCATGATAGTGAGAGCATATTATATAAATGCATTCAAAGTATACTTAAAATCAGTTATACAAAAGAAACAAGGTAATAATGAAAACTAATTATCCCATAATTTGACAGCCTTAACCACAAGTTTAGAATTTGAATTCAGTATAAATTTCATATCCCATATTATAGAACTGCTAAAAAAATCAATCTTTGCTATAAACCAATGAAAATTTGTTATAAGTCCACACATCTCAGAACCTTCTGTCAATGTATAGGAGCAGTGTTTAGGGATGTATAGGAATTCAGGAGAAAGTGCTGAAGGGAGATGCGGTCATGGTAAGACCTGCTGTATCAGAAGCTGAAGTCCTGAATTCTGTCCTGACCATGGCCATACTTCCCGTAGATGGTGAGGTTAAGAAAATTAGCCTTTCAAGTATTACTTTCCTCATCTTCAGATCTGCACAGATCTCTAAGGTTCTTGCCAGCTTTGAAATCTAAATATTTAGCTATGGCATGCCTATAGAGCAGAATAGCCCACCTCTAAACATGATTTGAGAAGGATCAAATTCATTGTGTCTCTCAATCACAAATAGTTTAAAGATCTCTCGGGTGTCCGGACTTGATGAGGCTTCCCAATCTACATTCCTGCAAGTATCCACTTTCAGGTGCTAAAATCTTTAGCTTCTTCATTGCCTTAACCATGTTGGATATTTTCACATAGTCTAGACTTGATTCAAAAAACTTAACAGAGAATTCAACAAAATCCCCCACCGTTTTCAGTTCCAAGTAATAATACCTCCTCAGCCTTTCATGGACACACACTAAACACTTATAAGGGAAGGGCTGGATGAGTGACTAGTGTGTGTTTTTAGCTTCAGCTTCTTGTGTTAGGGTTATAATAGCTGTATGCAGTAAAATTCATGGTAAGGTTGACTGAATCAAACAATTTAAGACATCTGCACCACCTTAGTCATAACAGCTAGACATGTTTTCTTTTCTGCAGTGGATATTTAATGTATTAAGTAAGAATATTAGCAAATGGGATTGGCTTCACCATTTTGTATCACAATTTGCTTTATGATCAGCTGCAAGCCACAGTCTGTATAGTTAGATTTGGAGTTTAGCAGAGTAACCAATAAGATATAATTAGAAAAAAAGGTGCATTCTATTAGTTTATCAACCAAAAAGTCATCCCAGCATTAAGCAACTCTGCTGATATTTGGGGATGTCTGTCTCAGCTTGATCTCTTAGAAACTTTCCCTTACAAAGAAAACCGTTGATGTATAGTTACTATGATACTCCTGTCAAATACAGGTAGCATCCTGCAAAGAAAACAGAAAAAGAAGGCAGCGTGCTTATCTGCATTATTCCAGCCAGTGTGCTTCACATAACTCAAGCCAAGTTATCCGCATTCCATAAGTCAGAAGTCCAAATTTCACAGAGAAAATCTAGCAATAGAATTCCAGTTTGCTTTGATTTGGAGCCTTGTGTTTGTTAGAAGAAATGTAAGCCTTGGAACTGAGTCAGAAAAATACATAAAGATGTGATATACTGAAAAAAACTGAGTTCACCCAGTCAGTGTGAGTCTAGGAAGTGTGAGATTCTTCCCACAGATCATTGGCCCCACAGCCATCTATAAGTTGAGCTCTGAATGTCACTTACCCTATGACGATACAGGAGATGGCAGTTCCCAAGAAGGCATATGTTAAAATAGATCCCAAGTTTTGAAAAAAGTGTCTCTGGGGAAAAAAAAAATTTTTTTTGTTTTTTTTTTTTTTTTTTTTTTTTTATTTGTAATTAAAATTAATTTTTTTTTTTTTTTTTTTCCCCCCCTTTCCCTCAGCGTTCAGGCAAATTTGGTTTTGAAGCCTCAATTTCTGGCCTTATTATGCAAAAAAGACTTAACTGAGGGGAAGAAATAACATCCAGAAGGTGACAGGGTAGGGATGATAGAAATGACATAGAACTGGATGGACCTGCGAGGGAAGAAAGCGATTGGGACAATGTCCATGCAGGACTCTGGTATGATTAAAGGAAGACAGAGTTTTTGAGATTTGTTGTCAATGAACCCCTTTAACATTTAAAAAATACTATTCTAAAATATTTAACTTGCCTTTTGACTTTTATTGGACCTTGGACTTAAATTTCTTCTGAATGTGATGAAACAAAACCTTACTCATCTAAAACAATTTATTCTTATGAATCACACAAAATGACGCTTAGTATTAGGGCGGGGAATGAGGAAGGACGACCTGAATCAATCCAGCCTTTTAAATCTTTTCAAATGCTGACTTGGGAAACACTCCCTTTCAGTTCTCAAAGTGGGAACTGAGAAGTCAGAACCGACAGCCAGAGGGAGCCTGGAGTACGCAAGAAAATCAGGTGCGCGCTAACAGCCTCCTGGCTGCTGGAGCGGACAGGCCAGGCCCGAGGGAGGAGAGCCCAGAAGCTCCAGGCAGGAGGAGAGGAGCCAACTGCCTCTGCATGTCGGAACGCATACACGCCAGAGCCTCGCTCTGTTGCACAGGGAATGCCAGCACCTAAAACTGCTATGTGAATTACTAATCTATGAAATGTACACATTCAGGCTATACCTAAGTAATGTCAGGCAAATAGATAGAAACTGTAAAACTGGACATTCTATGAGCACAAAAAGCTGAATATTAGCAAAGCATTCTCGAGTTTTCACCCTGATAGATAAACCCAATGTTTATCTCAGTTAACAGAGATCTCTGGTTACAAATATACAGAATAACATTGTCCAATATTAATATAATGTAAGCCATACATGTTACTTAACATTTTTTTGGTAGCCACGTTAAAATAAGTTTAAAAGAAGCAAAATAAATTTTGATAATACATGTTTAACCCAATATATCCAAAATATTATCACTTTTCCATGAAATAAATATAAAACATTATTGAGATATTTTACATTCTTTTTTAAAAGTAAGTCCATAAAATCCAGTATGTATTTTATACTTAAAGCACATCTTTATTCAGACTAGCTGCATTTCAAAGGCTTATAATGGCCAGAATACTGAACAGAACAGGTTTAGAAGAATTCTAAGCATGTCAGATTTGAATCTGTTATCACATACTCTAAGATAATGGTATTCTTACCAAACAGGTAAACCCATAAAACAACTGTACCATTAGTGCTGGGAAAGTTCTCTACTTAATGATAAAAGAAAAAAAAGTTACTATATATTTACCTTCTTTAGGCTGTATCCTGCATGAAATATAATTGGTGGCAGTAAAACATTGAAGAAGATTTCTGGATCAAATGTCATCTGCCAGAAAAGACAGAAGTGCAGTTAGGAAGATGCTCCTTTGGGCTACTAAAAATGTATTTTAAGAAAACAGTTATAGTTACTTCTGCTATGTTGTTATTAACAACATGTTATTAAATTAGAAGAGATGTTATTAAATTAGAGATAATTAAATAAGATAAAATGCAACTTAGAAATTCATAAATGCAATATAACTATAAAGTAATATTTTAAATGTGAAACCCATACTCCATTCTATAGCTAATAAAAACACGCACAAAAAAAAAACCTCATAAAACCTCTTTGGGCAAGGAAAAGTTTTTCCTTTTATTTTGATTAATTATTCATTCCTCATACTTTAAATATTTTTATTCTATTTTATTTTATTCTGGTCAAAAGAATCAGTACTGTTCAAACATTTTAGCTTCTGACAAGGATTTATTTAAAGTTTTCCCAAATAAAACATTTTTAGAAATTTAGTCTTAGTTTTCCCCATGTTATCCCATTCTAAAGATTAAAATTCCTTCCAGATTCTGTGGAAAAAAACATTTGAAAGTTAACATGGGCTTTTCTAGTATGTGTTTATTGGCCTTTACTTATATGTTAAAATAAACTTGGCTAAAAAAAATATATAATTCAGAGTGCAGTACAGTGAAACGAGATGTAGAAGTTCTTGAATCCAATACCTACTATTTGCTGGGTGTTTGAAAATGAAAAGTCATTTAATCTTTAAAACATTCCTTAGATTCATTTGTCCTTACTTCCTCTCTCTCTGTAACACACACACACACACACAGTGCCATTATTTCACCACTAAGGTCTTCTTACTGTTACAGTACTCACCAAAATCTCTCAGATGTATGGTTTTCACAAGTATAATTTCTAATTTTCTACCCTTTGTACACCCGAATTCTCACTCATCTCTGAAGCTGGATCTGAAAAGCTGCCCCTCTCTGAAATCCACATTGATTTCCCCAATCAAAACCAACCATTCTCTCTTCGATGTCCTTTCAGCCCTTTGAACCCTCCCTTGTAGCATATATATTTCATAGCACACTTAATAGGATTACTGGTTTGTGTTTGACTGTTTCTCCTATTAAATTGGGCACTTACCAAGGATAAGTCAGTTCTGCCATAGTCAATTCATTGCTACTTCCATCCCTCCCAGTGCTAGCCCATTGCTCAATATGTTTTTGCTGAATTGGAAAACAATTACTTTTGAGAGTCATATATATGAAAATGGCATGAATTATATATACTCATACAATATAATGAGTTATAATACACATCTAGTCATTCAGATGATTAAATATGTATTTCCCAGGTATTTCTGGTCTTCATCCAGGATTCCTGAAAATACTTCAGAGCCTTAAAGGTGAAATGGGTGTATTGTCATGTTAATGAGACTTCTGGACCCCACCCAAGGGCAGAGGCTGGAGGTTGAATCAGCCAATGGCCAGTGATTTAGCCAATCATGACTATGCAATGAAGCCCTCACAAAAACCCCTGAGAGAAGCCCTCACAAAACCCCTGAGAAGAGCATATGGCTCTCTCAGATCCTGCATTTCTGCTGGAGAGAGAGCTTCCACACTTGGGGAACCAGAATGCCTCCATGTGCCACTGAGCCAGGCTCCAAGCTCCACAAGGATAGAAGCTCCTTTATTTGGGACCTTGCCCTATGTATCTCTTCATCTTGTATCCTTTATGGTATCCTTTATTAAAAACATGTTTTCCTGAGTTTTGTGAGCTACAGCAATCAAGCAAACCTAAGCGGGAGGTCACTGAACTTCCAATCTGTAATCTGTTGGTCAGAAGCACAAGTAACTGCCTGGGGCTTGCAACTGGCATCTCTGGTGGGGTGTGAGTCTTGTAAGATAGAACCCTTAACCTGGGGAATCTGGGGCTCTCTGGGAAGATAGCCTCAGAATTGAGTTGAGTTCTCAGACCCTGCTGGTACTAGAGAATTGCTTGTTGTTGTGTGTGGGGGAAGACCCACTCCCACACACATGCACTGGATTCAGGTCTGGGAACTGGAAAGGAGTTATACTGCTGTGTATACTATTATTGTTGTGCATGAAAAAACACAACTCATAACATCCTTACACATCACAGGTAAGGATTACTTAAATAAAAATGAAGAAAAAAACTCTCAATTTCTTTTACCACTTGGGGTCGAATTGAGCATTGCCAGAATTCTTCTTCCTTCCTGATAGTGGCCCCTTCACTCTACTCTCCTAACACTCAGGAAGGGCTAGGACAGGACAGTAGGAGCCACATAGCTCAGCTGGGCTCCTCCCATAGACTGAACAATGCACCCATTGATACCAGAGCCTCTTGTAACAGTGAGTATCCATAGCTCTCAGTGCCTCAGTTTCTTCACCTTTAAAATGCATATAACAATGCGATATCTAATTCTAAGGTGGTTATGAATATTAAATGAATTAATATTTATAAAGACCTTGATGCATTGCCTAACATCTAGTAAGCACTTTTAAGTATTCATTATTAAGGAAAATAAAATATGTAAATAAACATTTTCAAGTTATACTATTTGCAAAACTACCTTGTCAGGAACTCTTAACCATTACAACTGTGTAAAATATCTGCAAAGATCTTACTTTCCCTTCAAAGTTTACTTTTTCTATTATCTGATATACCACTATTGACCTATTTTATGAGGCCTCTTTGAGATTATATCAAGTGGATAATTGAAAGTTTTTAGCAAAGAGATATATTTCTAAGTGCTGGAGGAATGAAGCAATGCAGCCTTTCATCTGGAAGACAGAAATACAGTGGCACAACATCTTGGAAGGAAAATCCCTTGCCTCAGCAGTTTTTCCACAAAACTCAGGTTAATCATTCAATCAGAACATTTCAATAATCAGAAGGTCCCATTCCCTGTATGCTGGTTAACTAATATGCTATTGACTTATATTTTCTGGAGCAGCCAGATGAAACTGTTAGGCTGAGAATGGCATGCAGCATATGAGGATTTATCTGTGTATACGAAACAGATTTGTGTTCCTTTCAGATTTACTCTAAGCTTAGGAGCTGCTAAATCAGAGTTCTGGGAGTAACTCCAAATCCAGACAATTTCTCAGAAATGGCTGGATCTGCTGCTGCACGAACCTCCAGATGGTGATTCCACATGTCATTTTACTCAGACTTTGTGTTCTAATCATGACCTTGGATGTGAGACTGTTTTTAAGGCCCAAACAGTTAAAATTTTTCAGTATAGTATGAGGGGGAAAAATCTACGACAGGGGTAAATGGGAAGAAGAGAAAGCAAAAAATATTTCAACTACACACATTAGTCTTTTAAGATACAAACTTATACACCAGCACTGTCTGACTGTGCTTTCTGTGATGTTGGAAATGTTCTATAACTGTACTGCCCAACATGGTAGCCACCAGCCACATGAGCTATTGAGCAGTTGATTGTAGGCTAGTTGCAACTGAGGAACTGAATTTTTTTATTTTCACATCTGTGACTATTCACTATTGGTCAGTACATTTATAGACAGTTACTAGAATTTAAAAATTCATACCATTCAGCTTTCAGATGATCTTTCATACTGTATCAAGTATAGTCAACTTGGAGAAACAGAGCTGAGACTCTGAGGTGGAAGAATTATGGATGATTCATGAACAGTGATATTTTTAAATATTGGGATTTAATTCTTAAAATAACAGATAATAAATTTGGAGGACAGAAAAATATCATTATGTTCACAAGGAGTAGTTTTAGCTTTTGTCTCACATATATATATATATGCCACCATTTGGCTAGGAATGACCCAGACATATGTTCACAGAGATAATCAACTTGAAAACCTCCCAGACTAAAAAGAAAATGTTCCAAGTTTAATTCCCAAGTTCATTAGAAGGTTAAAGATACAAAATTCTGTTTGCCAAAGTATTAGGGTATCCAGCAACTCAATATGACTTATCTGGGAAGAAATATCAGTGTTCTACTCAACTATGAAATAAATATGCACTAAAACAACCACCTTAATGGGGGACTGTGATTTATGTGACATATTGCTTCCAAAGAGGCCTTTTAAAAACAATGTTTCATCAATTCTGACAACATTCTTGAGTGGTAGCTGGCAAATGCAATTATCCCCATTTTCCAAAGACAGGAGAAGGAATTAATGGCATGCCCAGTGTCAATTAATGTGGCAGGGATATCATGGGGAATTGGGTGTATATAAGTGGGCAAACTAAATGTTTGCTTTCTGAGGGAACACCAGGCTAACATAACTACTTAAAGCAAGATTTAGGAATGTTTCAGAGAGGTTAGGACTCAGAAGTAGAGCTTCATTATAATTCCTAATTCCTTTGGAAAAATAAAAGTAACACAATAAGGTGCCAATCATTTTCCACACTTTGTT